AAATTAGCAATATATTTACTTTTACATTTCCTATATAGTTGCTTCATAACTACTGTATCACTTCTATACATTTGTCTATATTAAATATTTAATATTGCGTTGAAAATAACATAAAGTAGCTGTACGCTTACTATGTAAGTGGTGGCAATATGAATACTACAAAGCCCCGATTTATTATTTTTATTTATTATTATTATTTTATGTGAAGCTGGACAGACTATTAAACAGGACATATACCACACGTGAGTTATTTTACTTTTAGCTATCATCCATCACCAGGACGGATCCAAACTTCTTTAAAAACGTTGGAACCAGCCTGATCCCCTCCACTACCGAAAGAAGAACAGGAACGAGAATAAAATTCAATTAAATGACGAGCACTAATCCGTATTTTTCTTTCAACCCATAGGGCTGCCACCTGTAAATACTGTAAGAGGTGGAATGGTTTACACTATTTTAAGTTGTTAAAAGTCTAACATAAAAAATGAACTAAAATGCTAATAAGCATGTACAAATAGAAACTAATATAATCATAAATCTATATATAAAATTGACTAACGAGTACTAGATAGTATGAGCAGACGAACTATTTTCTAAATCCTTCGAGGCGGATAATATACAAATCTTTTTATCTAGATGATAACCATAATGAGTATCTAAATTACCATTATCATTGGCACGTCATTTAAGCGGTCTGTCGTCCATAATGGCACAAGGCTGAAAAGCCAAACCGATTTCATCCCTATAGTAGTTGACGATAAAAGCATCTTCATAAATGTTAACCCAAGAGCGTAACTCTTCTAAAATTTTAGTATCTTCACTTTTTTTCTGTTCAATTTCTTGTAATTTTTGTAATCGTCATTTTTCGCGTTTTTTGCGTTCACTTTGTTTGAGTGATCCAGATACGGTTGGTAATTCGGGTATTACTTCAGATAAGATTTCAAGTAATTTCGTCTCGTAATTGTACTGAGCGTCGGTGACTTCTATTACAAGATTGCATAGATTCTTTCGGTATTCGCCTTGGTCGGGGTAGTATCCCATTGTATTTTAGCAATTATTCTTTCTTGTTCATATTTTGTCATCGTTCCATGATGATCATAGATTTCTTTCATGTGAGCTAACCAACCATCACTGCCAACTGCAAGTGGTTGTAAATTCTTTTTCCAGATTTTCATACGAGAAGGTTGATTCAATCGACCACCTTCGTAAATTGCAGATTGAGGAATTAACGGAATATAATGTTCAGGTATGTTCTCCCAATTGTCGGTATTAACTGAGGATATAGGATTACCATTCGATATAGATGCGACAGAGCTAACGTTACAAATTGTCTCCGCTATAGCAGGTGCAGGTACGGTCTTAGTTTCAGGAAATGAGATCGGAAAGGTATAGTAACCTTTTGAAGGTTCAATAAATTTTTTCTTATATCGAAGATGTTTGATAGGAGCGGTGAATTGTTGATTTTCTTGAAATAATAATTTGTGACGTCATGCAGCTCAAAGTTTATCATCCATCAGCGCATTATCATCCAGCTTGGCATTGTGGAAAGTATGCCTAACCGAAGCATTAAAACGTGCTTCTTGTCTTTTTTTGACTTTTGGAGACAAACTGGGAGTAAATTGAAGATTCCCATATTTTTTGCTGTAAATAAAATCAAGTTTTTTTGTAGCGACAACATTAGTGTTATACGCATGGTATGATGTGGTGAAAGAAATTCCTAATCGGTTCGAGAAATTCTGATATTTCTTCTTCTTAGCCCATCTGTTGTGGAGGCGGGATGCGTGAAAATTTTTAAATGTTTTGCAATGACTGACATCAGGAATTTTGTTATCCTTCGAGATGAAATATAGGACTAGATTCTTGTGGTGAATAATACAGGCATGACGGTGATATGACATTGTGAAAGGAACTGGAATGGAACAGGTCACAACAGTATTTGTCAACAGACCCACTGTACGAGCATGATTACATGGGAGGTAAATTCCAAAATAAAATCTATATTTTTTGTACGAAAAATTAAAAAAAGTTTTAGTCATGTGATTGTTTTTGTCCTTTTTTTGGGCACGTAATGTTATAAAATCCAAACGCTTCAATAGTTTTTTACGAATATATGTAAAAAATTTTTCTTGCAATCTTCGAGGGATAACTTTTTGTGTTGAAAAAAAGTGCGTGAGCTGTTTTGATATTTGAAATTTAAAATTCGGGAGTTGGCTCGTGGAGTTGTGATTAATCGGGATAGAGGACATATGATAATCATTTGTGTAAATCTTCAATTGAAGTTGATTGGTGTTTGGTAATTGATCAACCAGCTCAAAAAAGAAACTTTTTGAGCGCCTAAAATTGTAAATCTTGTTATAACCGGCTCTATGATGTGGAGTCACGTGAAACTTTTCGTATTTTGTAGAAAAAATATAATTTTTGTTAGGCGAAGAAAAGGGCCTAATATCCTCAAAATCGTTATGAAATGAAGGTGTATCCGATAAACTGTCTTCAGTAGGAGGTACTGTTCGTGTAGTATCGTGGTTGAATATGAAGTCGTCAGGACCAGCAGGTGTATGGTCGTATCCGGGTGCAGGAGCAAAATCATCGGCTCTTGGAAAATAAGACATAACCAACCCTTTGAGTATGGGTGTAATAAGAACAATAAAACCTCGTCTTATGCCCGAGGCGCCTTTAGGGCCTCTTCCCTTTAGGCGTTTCAAATAGAAACTAAAAAATAAAATTTGCGCAAAATTACTGCGGAAAACTAACAAAATGGAGAAAAAGGGGAAAGAGTTTTTTTTTTTCCAAAGCCCCGATTTCATGGGTTTCAGTAAAGAATTTAACTAATTTTAATAAGTCACGTGGGGTGCGCACATGCGCACAAATTTTAAACCCATAAT